AATATAACGATTCCAATTGGTACAGCAACACGTGACATAAAAAAGAGGTAATACTTATTAGCAACAATAGTAAGGGTAAGTTTTTTAGATAAGATTTGAGATGAAATTATCGTTGAGATCATTGACTCCAAGGGTGCGTGAATATGGGAAAATAATAATTAATTCGTTTCGCGGATCTACGATACCATCGGAAAGCGAACGTTTAAATAAATTTGCGTCGTAATCACGGCCAAAGTAACCGCTTTCGATGATTTTTGAATAAATTCGAAAAAAAACTGCGTTTGAGCTGTCAAGAGTGAAGCGTTTGGTTATTGCAAACAAAATTGGTAGTCGTTTATTCCGCGCTGAAAAAATTTGTACTTTATTATACGAAATTTAATGAAAAGGCAATTTTAAAATTTAAGATGGCAGTTAGTCCCTCTGGTGGTCATTTTTAGAACTTGAAAATATTATCCAGCGATTCTTCATGACCGATTGACCCAATAATTTTTTTACCCCTAAGTCATACGATGAACGGTTCCCGAGATATGGCCGAGGAACAGACTTATTGGGTCACCCGGTACAGATTTTAGGCACTATGGAGGTTTAACGGCCCTGTAAATGGCATCTTAAGTCATTTTAGAAAGTGACAAAGCGGAAAATTTTGTAAATTCATTTGCATTTCAATAAAATAACCATCGCAGGTGTTTGTGAAATACTATACTAAAGTAATTTTATATCTGTATTCAAGTACTGTCGTCATATCCAACAAACAATTACGCTAAACTCAAGGCATATGACATCGGGTTCCTTTGTACAATACAAAAAAAACAGGAATTGTGCAAAAAAAGCAGCACTGCATCTAAAGTACCATCTCTTGCAACTACCAACAATGCAACACTGAAATTATTCTATATAGTAATCGACATTACAAAACGAAGACATGATCGAAATCTATAATTTTAAAATTTCTTTGCTAAATTTAGTTACAGTAATCATTTTTTTGTTCGTGAATGCACCGATAATCCAAATGCAAGGAACCGGATTTTATGCAATCTGGTTGACATTGCGCTTAAAAAATAAACTGTACCAATTACCTGAACTTGAACTACAAAATTATTCATTGACATTTCGGAAATACCACAAAGCGATAATTTGGCTTTAATTCGCAATTCGAAATTTAATTAGCATCCGGTGGGTCAGGCCATTTCAGACAATAGCCGCCTTTAACCTTATTTGCCTTTTGACCTTCTTAGAAATGGCGCAAGAGAACTTCTGTATCGGTAAAAATTACGTTCACCTGAGTGAAGGTTCACTTGCTTTAGTGGATGTGATCAGATAAGTTGGTAATTAAATTGTATTCGTGATAATTTCGATTGCTAATACTAAATTGGTGGTTACACTGTAATGACTATTATTAAATTTAGGCTCACTTTTTGTTTAGGTTCGTTAAACATGTAAGTCTACAGTACATTCGATGTTAATTGATTCCAACTAATTTTTTATGTAAAAAACAAAGTGCAATTTATGACAAGATTTAACGTATTTATTGGCAACAATAAGGAAATGAAAAGTCAGTGAGATTAGTGAATTATGGTGGAAATTGATTTAGCACTCTGGAGCAAGTAATATATTAGCAATAAGTCGAAAGATATTTGCTTAATGCCTGGATTCCAGATTCTGAATTACGACAGGAGGGTGGACAGGGTCTACGCGTACCTAGGCCTCAAATTCGGGTCGGACAGTCGGCAGGGATGGTACCCAAAGTTTGCCAATTGCGCGCCAGAAACCTATTTGCTATTTCGGCTGGATATATTTGGTCCAATTCAGTTCTTTGTCACGTGCAGTATCTCAACTTAGATTGCCTGTTCCTCAAACCGTAGTGGTTCGTGTGGTTTACAGACGGGTCCCTAACGGAAAGGGGAACGGGCACGGAACGCTCCTTTAATAGTAGATAATTTTTTAATTTCCGATCATTGGCTCCCCTAATTATTTTAGAAATAAAGTCTATTTAGGTTTTTTGTAGATACAAAAATTACGAACCCGTACATACTATTATTCCCTATTTTATGAATTCAGAAACAATAAAAAATTAAAAACTGTCGCGATTATAAAGTCGGTAATGCCCATGCAATTAAGAAATCAAACAAAAGCGCCTGCATTTGCCATGTTTTATCTCAAACTGCCCTGGCACCACTGATTTTCTCCAAATCGCCAGTTTTTATAGTTATCCAATTTCTTGGTTTCAAAATTCAAAAAATTGAAAGCACTAGTATGCATGGATTCGTAATTTTTTTCTCTACAAAAACCTAAATAGACTTTACATCTGAAATAATTAGGGAAGCCAATAATCAAAAATGAAAAATTTACAATTGAAATTTCTATGGTGCGTTGTTCAAGTCACCACCTGGTGTATGGTGATCGACCGAGAGCTTCTCTCTTGGTGAGCATAGTACCGTCTTTGCTTGCTAGAAAAACAGAGGTCCATTCATCTTGATAATTAAAAGTTTGGCTACTTTTATTAAGCTTCCACACGAAACATATGTGATCCTCTGCCTATTTAAAAAATGTTTGTTTTGTTTCACTCTATTATTATACCTACCTTATTTTTTTGCAGAACTCAAATGTAACACCCTGTATATGTACTATTTAAAATCAGAAGTATTTCAACGAGCACAAAAAATATCTATTATTAACTGGTCATTGTTATTTAATTAAACATACACTCTAGTAAGTACGCGTAACTAGTTTCCAGGATGAATGTTACATACCTTTAAGAGACAAGTAGTCAATGAAGAAATATAAAAAAAAACTGTTTAACTGTCTACCACAGATTTAAGAAAAATTACTTGAATCATTGAAGAATACTTTGGAATCTTTAAAAATTTTCTAATCACCCCCCAATTTCCAAATATCCCACAGAAATGTGTCTATAAAACGCTAGATTCATTTAAGAAATCTAATTTTTATTTTTGTGCAATTTAATTGAATAGTCGGGTGAAGGATGTCTGAAAAACCCTATAGAATATTTTCTGAAGCGATCTTCTGCAAAATGTTTGGTGAGTGCTTTAGAAGATCCACACACAATCTGGCACTTTGTGAGTACAGTGAAAGAATAAATAATACACGACAATTTTCATTTTTCACAGTCTTTATTTTTTATATTCAAAGATGTTTCTGAACTATCTTTAAAAATCTTTAACACGTTTTTGAAGTATTCTTGAATAATCTGAAGTTTTTCTAAAGAATCTCTGAAAATCCCCCCAAGAACTTTTGAGATACGTCAATCTCTGGGAAGCAGTCGAAATTGGATTCTAGTCTATAACTTTTGATTGAGAAGTCTAATCGAAAAAGTACGAATTGCTTTAGATCCTACGCTCCAAAATTAATAAGAAAAAGTGTTTTCCCGAGAAATTTTGGTGTAATCGATTTTTGGTAAAAAAGGAAGGTTAATAGGTACACTGCCTTCTTTTGACCCCGAAAAAAAAATTGCCTCAGATCGACCGTGAAAAAAATTTTTCTTATAGAATATGCCCTGTAGCATCCATAATTTCAAACAGTTTGAAGATCGGGCTACTAGTTCAAAAATTACAGCCCTTTGAATTTTCTGTCGAAATTGGTTTCTAGTCTATAACTTTTGATTGAGAAATCTAATCGAAAAAGTACGAATTGTTTGGGATTCTACACCCCAAAATTAATAAGAAAAAGTGTTTTCGCGAGAAATTTTGGTGTAGTCGATTTTTGGTAAAAGGAAGGTTATACACTGCCTTTTTTTGAACCCCGAAAAAAAAATTGTCTCAGATCGACCGGGAAAAAAATTTTTCTCATAGAATGTGCCCTGTAGAATCCATAATTTCAAACAGTTTGAAGATTGGGCTACTAGTTCAAAAGTTACGGCCCTTTGAATTTTCTTTCGAAATTGGTTTCTAGTCTATAACTTTTGATTGAGAGGTCTAATCGAAAAAGTACGATTTGTTTTGGATTCTACGCCCCAAAATTAATAAGAAAAAGTGTTTTTGCGAGAAATTTTGGTGTAGTCGATTTTTGGTAAAAAAGGAAGGTTTATACACTGCCTTTTTTTGAGCCCCGAAAAAAAATTGTCTCAGATCGACCGCGAAAAAAATTGTTCTTATGGAATGTGCCCTGTAGAATCCATAATTTCAAACAGTTTGAAGATTGGGCTACTAGTTCAAAAGTTACAGCCCTTTGAATCTTTTGTCGAAATTGGTTTCTAGTCTATAACTTTTGATTGAGAAGTCTAATCGAAAAAGTACGAATTGCTTTGGATTCTACGCCCCAAAATTAATAAGAAAAAGTGTTTTCCCGAGAAATTTTGGTGTAGTCGATTTTTGGTAAAAAAGGAAGGTTATACACTGCCTTTTTTTGAGGCCCGAAAAAAAAAATTGTCTCAGATCGACCCGGAAAAAAATTTTCTTATAGAATGTGGCCTGTAGAATCCATAATTTCAAACAGTTCCAAGATTGGGCTACTAGTTCAAAAGTTACAGCCCTTTGATTTTTTTTTCGAAATTGGTTTCTAGTCTATAACTTTTGATTGAGAAGTCTAATCGAAAAAGTACGAATTGTTTTGGATTCTACGCACCAAAATTAATAGAAAAAGTGTTTTCCCGAGAAATTTTGGTGTAGTCGATTTTTGGTAAAAAAGGAAGGTTATACACTGCCTTTTTTTGATCCCCGAAAAAAAAATTGTCTCAGATCGACCGTGAAAAAAATTTTTCTTATAGAATGTGCCCTGTAGAATTCATAATTTCAAACAGTTCGAAGATTGGGCTACTAGTTCAAAAGTTACAGCCCCTTGAATTTTCTGTCGAAATTGGTTTCTAGTCTATAACTTTTGATTGAGAACTCTAATCGAAAAAGTAGGAATTGTTTTGGATTCTACGCCCCAAAATTAATAAGAAAAAGTGTTTTCCCGAGAAGTTTTGGTGTAGTCGATTTTTGGTAAAAAAAAATAACAGAATCGCAAGGAAATTAATTTTTTTCTATTTCTGTCTTTATTTTGGGGTGAGCACAATCGTGAATGAAACAGAGCCAGAAAAATGCTTGTTTTGGTCCGGTCATCCTAACTATTATCTATCGTAACTATATAAAATGAGTTTCCTACGAAAGGTTGTGTACTAGTTAAAGAAAAATCATTTATAGTTATGGTAATGGGTATACAGTTAGTACGCGTTTCTAACAACCTATATAGTCAATTTGCCAACTCATTTGATAACCAATCTAATCCATCGTACAAGCCCTCTCCCCGTGTAGCACATGCAGCTTGGATGTGCCACTGAAATAACTTTATAATTAGACAGAAGAAAATGAATAACGAAAACGTACGCGACGATCACGTAAGTCGTGCAGTTGCAATTTACTAGCAATCTGTGCCAAACTCATTGCGTGGGGTAAATCTTGCTTATTAGCCCATACCAACAAAGCGGCGTCCTTCAGTTCATCATCCTTCATCTGAAATGGCAAATTTAGCATACGCGCCCATCTAATAAGCCATTAGGTACCATGTCGGTTAATTCATCCCTCACTTCATCGATCCGCCCTCGATCGTTGGAATCGACGACAAATATAACAGCATCGGTACCGTGGAAATAATGACGCCACAATTGGCGAATCTTATTTTGTCCGCCAATATCCCACACAGTAAACGAAATGTTCTTATACTCAACTGTTTCCACGTTAAATCCAATGGTAGGTATTGTGGTGACAATTTCGCCAAGCTTTAATCGATATAAAATTGTAGTTTTACCTGCAGCGTCTAACCCCACTAAAAAAAAGTATTGACAGAAGCTTTGACAGAACCTAACCTCACCCATTAAAATCCGCATCATCTTCGTTCCAAACAGGCGAGTTAGCAAGGTGGAAATTGTTAGGCCCATTGTGTATGTTCAATGTGTCTTGTACACGACAATTTTGGAAGGGGTTTTTGAAGATTTTTTGTTAGCATTTGTTGCTTTGTAAAAACGCAATCTTCGATTTTTATAAAGGGAACTAATTCTTGGAACTATTGCGGTTGGATGCTATTAGGTAAATTACATCCCCTCACATTTTAAAATTATTTCCTCTGTAACTGCAGCGTCATTACTTTAATTAAAAGTTACCATTTTCAGGTTGCAAAGTAAGCTAACCGGAAACACAGAAGGAAAGGTATATGTTTTATTTGCTGTTGAAATGGACATTTGTGGATGAAACCGGTCAAAGCAATAAATTACATCATCTACTGGTAGCAGCTTGTAAAATGCCGTGATAGGTTATACTTAAAATAAATCAAAGTAATAAAATCAACTGTGCTTGTGGTAACAGACGATAGTTTTAATTATTACCTTTCGTTTCAAAATAACACCATCACAGAGTGGAATTTATGTCAAAATCTTATTTTCTGGTGGATCCTACCGGAAATGCTAAAATGGAATGTGTAATGCAGGGGCAATAATCAATGTTATTCAAAAGGAATTAAAATCAATTGCTGATTTGAACCAGGAACAAAACCTACCGGATTATTGAAGGTCGTTCAAAGTAATTATAATAAAATTCGTGCACCGGAAAAAAAACCTCTTGAAAGCTAATTAGAGGATTTCGAATGTTTGGCGAAGGCTTGGAATATGCAAAACTTACCGCCATGGAGAAAACAATATGCTGTTAAGACCCTGCTTAGATCGTATTTGCAACACCCAAAAACTGGAGTAACCAAAAAGGCAATAAAGGAAATTATTAAGAGAATACATCACTAACCGCCTTTTTGTGGTATAGATAGCTAACCTCAGAGTGTATGCTTCTCTTAATAAAGTTTTGGCATTGAATTGTATCCTGTTCTACCAATGGAAATTAGACCAAAGCCGTAACACGAATTGCTTTTATGGAAATTTAAACCATAAATCAAATATCATTTTAATTTAACATCTTATACAATTCATTTCGTTTTAAACGATTGTTTTTTATGCGATTTAATTCCTTGAGTAGTATATTAAGGAACAAGTGTATCCCTAATTAAGTTTTCAAAGCACCGTAGCACGTAGCGGAGTACCCTCGGGAGTACCTTTAAACGTTGCAAGTAAGTAAGACCAATTATACACACGTTTCTTATAGTATTTTTTGTAATACCTGCAATAATTTCAAAATCGTGCCCTTGTAACCGGCTGGTTACTTTTCAACTCTCCTTACCGTCTCTTCTTAGGATTTATTTGGGGGTGGTTCTTCTTATAAACATTAAGGGTTGTTGGGCGCCGGCTAGCTTCAGTCGATAACTCTTCTGGCCTCAAGAAGAGGGGAAAGGATAAATGAATAAAATCAGTAATCTTTATTAAAGCCTTTTAAGTTCTTTTTCTCTTAGAAATCGCCTTTTAACTGTAAATAACACATATTAAGAGAAATGGGGGTGAGGCGGTACACTCCTGTGAAAATAAAGTTAACTCATTCATACACAAAAAGTAACTGCATATAAAGGAAAATCTGTATTTATTACGTAAATTAAAATCAACGTATTTACTCCAAAACCGCTGAGTACAGACAGAAACTTAATTCGTATTTCATAAATGATCATCCAATTTAATCGAAAGTCAAAACAAAACTGCTGTAAATGCGTGTAGTAACGCTTCCAGGCTCGAGTCGTTAAAATGAGCACAGTGCTAATAAGCACTGATCTGAATGCAACACTAGTAGATAAGTAAATCGAATTTACAAACACACCACTTTATAATAATCTTGTAATAACAAATAAACGACAACACAATAATAAGTCTACCACGGGGCTAATAACAACGCAACAGAAACTACAACGCAATATTATTTAGAATGTTCTATAAATAAGCTACAATGCAATAATTCTACCACGGGGCTAATAACAACGCAAAATAACTACAACGCAATATTGTTTACAAATACCTCTAGTTCATTAAGTGCACCCGGACTTGGAGGATAACTTTGTCGTACGATCGATGTGGAAGTCGAATGAATTCGGACCGCCCACTGCAGGCTGCTATTCGCTTTTTAGTTAGACCAATCACAGGCAGGCTGGTTTATCTTGGTCTTCGCTTGGTACTCTCTAGCTGGACTACGCACGGACCGCAGACGGAACAAGCGCCAAGGAAAGTCGTCTTCGGTAATCTCGCAACTCTCCATTTTCGTCGGTGCGCTGTGAAGAATCGTTTTCGTCTTCTGCGCTGGCTCGATGGAGATGATTTCACTCGGTTCTTTTGCTTCTTTTCTTACAAAGATCGCCTTAACGCTCTGTTATTAAACTCCACGCTTATAACTTTGCGGGCGCGACTGACATAGATGTTGCTCCGTAAAAAGGCGGCGGGCAACTCCCCTCTGGTGCTCCGTATTTATACTTTCGCAGTTTGTTACACTCTCCTGTACATTTTTCAGAAAAAACTGTAGAGTGTAAAGTTGTTCAGAATGAAAAGGTGCATACAAAATTGTTTTTACATGTTTTACTAAGCTTTAGGTATACGCGCAAATTTAAAAACAAGTTAAAAAGTCATTATGCAAACATAAATGATGAGAGCGTATTTTTCTCCTAATAATATTAAAGCTAGGACCGGAATAAAGTACCCGTAGGCAAAGTGCCTACATATGATATTTCATTTAACTGTTTTCATAAATAAGAAAGTTGGCATTGTGAATGCGCAAGACAACATTTTGAAAACGTCGTTAATTTTACTTATATTCGTAGTGTTTACAAATTAAGTTTCATTTAAATATCTTCATAAATAATCAAATTTTTGGCACAACGCATGCGCAACCCCAAAAAAATATGGGTGTGCACGGAATCCTTGGACCCAGCCTTTTCAAATGAGTCCTATATCGCCAAAATCGGTTCAGTGATGTAGAAGGAGTACGTGTGACGAACAGACGGACGGACGGACGAACGTCAAAGTGCAGCCAATAGCGATTTTTCATTTTGAGGAAAATACGCTAAAAAGAGGGATCCAATCCAGCATTAAAACAGGTCGTGCAGTTTACGGAAATAACAACGTGATAGCCGTTTGACCTAAAATTCCAAGGGAAAAAGGGCATTATTGGACTGCCAAATTTGGAGATTTTATTCCGACTATTTGGATAAGTATAATTAACCGTAATTAGTTGAGTACGTTACAGGTAACGGCCTTCGGCAGAGATTACATCTGTTAGGTGCGCCCATAAAAAACTTGCATTTTGACACCGGTCCCACATTTTTAAGACGGCTGGGAAGAACGTAATTAATTAAAGAAGTTGTAATTTTTAGATGTAGATAACCGAATATGCTATGTCGGTTGGAAAAACCGGCGTTCCCCCCATAGCATAGCCGAATTTTATATGAAGTAATTCCTGGATCTAGAGGAGTTCTATTGCATTTGGTGGTTTACTGAAACGTAAAATCTTTTGCCTTTGGTGGTTTACCGTATTAAATTTGGCTAATTTCCGTAAATTTATTTTGCATTCAGATCGTCTAATTTTTGCCTTTTGCATTAAATTTGCCGTATCGTTCTGTTCTTTTTTTTCACAGTAATTCCTACCATCTCGTTAATTATAGGGTAACCTTTTTGGTACTTGCCGTTTCATTAATTATAAGAGGGGGGGGGGGATATTATCTATTATCTCGCTAACGACTACAATTATTCATTGTTCCCGTTTAGGGAAATTGCTTTGCGCTTTAAGTTTGTTGTGGTAGGTATTGACCAGTAGCCGCCCACCCATTGTCCTTTAGAATTCCTGGGACCCCCGTTCTCCATTCGAGTTACCTGAAGCTTACCATCACCGACCGCTTCTTGTCCAGTAGCAAAAGAGACCGAAAAATTATGATGGCACCTGAAGCACTCCCGTTCCGCCTTCTTCCGCCGCAGCACCGTCTACAGATTTTGACTTAAAATGACCGTAGATGACCGCTGAATTTTCTTTTTTTATTTTCCTTAAATTTCATTTTTGTCATTATACCGTTTACTACCACTCGCATCAGGTTAGTAAGTGAGATCACAGATCTAAACACTTTAGATCTGTGGTGAGATACTGCATTGGAGTATAAAATGCCCCCCCCCCCCCGCCCCCTTTGTTTATGGAAATATAGGTTTTGAAGCACCAGGAATCCGAATCAACCAAAATCTCGGTGATTTCGATCGGTCTATCGGTCGGTTTATCTGTTTGTCTGTCTGTACTCTCATTTCCGGCGGAGCGGCTGAACGGATTGGAACCAAATTTGATACACATATACTTGGACATAAAAGGAGAGAGTCGCGCATGCGCAAGTGTGCGGATGGTACCTGTACTAGCCACAGCAAATTTTTGGTCTAAAGGAGAAACAAAGCACCCGCTGATACGCGAACTTCCGGAAAAAGTTCGTCGCAATTCTTATAATTGGGGAGACCAATTAATGAACCTTACTTCTAATTCTTATAAACGGTAGTGAAGTAATAATTTTTTTCTATCCAAAATTATGCCAACGTTCAAAAGAAATTTAGGTGATTTTAACCACATTTCGATCCTTCAATTCTTCAGAAAAAATTACAGAAGAAACGCGTCATTTTGGACCTTTGGCTAATTTGGAGAAAATACTTATTTTCGTCTCCTTTACCACTCGTTTTGAGTTAATTGATTCACCATTATAGGAAGACAAGTTCAACTACGCGTTTGCACCAGCTTTGTTTACAGTCAACAGGAAAGGCACCGAGTCATCTTGTTCTAGGGATAAAATGCTGAATATGATGATAAAAAGGTACCCATGGTTTTGAACCAATTAAATTACAAGGCCGCAACTTTTCGAGGGGGACATTGCTCTTCGCCCAATTATGGATACGGAGAACAGATTGTGGGGAATGTAATGGAAATACTGTAAATTAAGTTGTCTATAACCTTTTTTGGCTTGTCGGAGGGGGAAATTGCCTCTTTTGCCCCCTGCTGAATCCGCCACTGCAAGGGCGCAGGTACACCAACTAACTTCGGACCACATCGTCGACAAAAGCATCTGTGGCTAGTGGCTACTTTGTTGGACAGACGAGTGCACGAAAGATGCTGAAT